GATTCATAACATTTTTGTCATATGTTTAAGGAATTATTACATTAAACAGGTATTCATCGTGGCAATACAAACACAGCTACTAATATAATCTTGCAAATACTGTTGTGAAAGCCTAACAAACATATGAAACATCGATGCTGCTGCAGCCTGCACTAGAACAAGCACTAAGCCGTGGCAAAGAGTTCTGAAAGCACCATGATTAAATTTACCATGGAAACAAAACCTGCAAAAGAGTTACGTTTCTTGGTTGTTTTGGTCACTAGGAACATAGAATGCATGGGAAAAACTAAAAATTATTTTTCAAAATGCGTTGGTTCATTGGAAAGAGGATACTTTTATTAACACTTTGGGAAATTTTCAAACTCATATTCTAAGACATGGATTTTATACGAATTTTTAAAACGTAATCGGCGAAAATTGCAATATCGATTACTTCGAAAATTTATTTCTTAAGAACTAAAAGTGATTTTTCAAAACGGCTTTTTGCATTAAAAAGGGAATACTTTAATTAATAATTGGTGATATTTCCACAAGGATCCTTCAAGAAATTAATTTTATAGCGAATTTTGAAAATTATCGATGAAAATTGCAACATCGAAAATTTTATCAAAACTTCAAATATTGTTTTCTCAAAAACTAAAAGTTATTTTTCAAAACGGGTTGGTTCATTGGAAAGAGGACACTTTTATTAACACTTTGGGAAATTTTCATACTCATATTCCAAGAAATGGATTTTATACGAATTTTTAAAACTTAATCGGCGAAAATTGCAATATCGATTATTTCAAAAATTTATTTCTTAAGAACTAAAAGTGATTTTTCAAAACGGCTTTTTGCATTAAAAAGGGGATACTTTAATTAATAATTGGTGATACTTCCACAAGGATCCTTCAAGAAATTAATTTTATAGCGAATTTTGAAATTATTGCAACATCGAAAATTTTATCAAAACTTCAAATATTGCTTTCTCAAAAACTAAAAGTTATTTTTCAAAATGCGTTGGTTCATTGGAAAGAGGACACTCTTATTAACACTTTGGGAAATTTTCAAACTCATATTCCAAGAAATCGATTTTATACGAATTTTTAAAACGTAATCGGCGAAAATTGCAATATCGATTATTTCAAAAATTTATTTCTTAAGAACTAAAAGTGATTTTTCAAAACGGCTTTTTGCATTAAAAAGGGGATACTTTAATTAATAATTGGTGATATTTCCACAAGGATCCTTCAAGAAATTAATTTTATAGCGAATTTTGAAAATTATCGATGAAAATTGCAACATCGAAAATTTTATCAAAACTTCAAATATTGTTTTCTCAAAAAGTAAAAATTATTTTTCAAAATGCGTTGGTTCATTGGAAAGAGGATACTTTTATTAACACTTTGGAAAATTTTCAAACTCATATTCCAAGAAATCAATTTTATACGAATTTTTAAAATTTAATCGGCGAAAATTGCAAAATTCGAAAAAATTGTCGATCATTTCAAAAACTTATTTCTCAAGGACTAAAAGTGATTTTTCAAAACGGCTTTTTGCATTAAGAAGGGGATACTTTAATTAATAATTGGTGATATTTCCACAAGATCCTTCAAGAAATTAATTTTATAGCGAATTTTGAAAGTTATTGCAACATCGAAAATTTTATCAAAACTTCAAATATTGTTTTTTCAAAAATGAAAAGTTATTTTTCAAAACGGGTCGGTTCATTGGAAAGAGGACACTTTTATTAACATTTTGGGAAATTTTCATACTCATATTCCAAGAACTCGATTTTATACGAATTTTTAAAACTTAATCGGCGAAAATTGCAAAATCGATTATTTCAAAAATTTATTACTTAAGAACTAAAAGTGATTTTTCAAAACGGCTTTTGGCATTAAAAAGAGGATACTTTAATTAATAATTGGCGATATATCCACAAAGATCCTTCAAGAAATTAATTTTATAGCGAATTTTGAAAGATATTGCAACATCGAAAATTTTATCGAAACTTCAAATATTGTTTTCTCAAAAACTAAAAGTTATTTTTCAAAACGGGTTGGTTCATTGGAAAGAGGACACTTTTATTAATACTTAGGGAAATTTTCATACTCATATTCTAAGAAATCGATTTTATACGAATTTTTAAAACTTAATCGGCGAAAATTGCAAAATTCGAAAAAATTGTCGATTATTTCAAAAATTTATTTCTCAAAAACTAAAAGTGATTTTTCAAAACGGCTTTTTGCATTAAAAAGAGGATACTTTAATTAATAATTGCTGATATTTCCACAAGGATCCTTCAAGAAATTAATTTTATAGCGAATTTTTAAAGTTATCGATGAAAATTGCAATTATCAAAACTTCAAATAGTTTTCTCAAAAACTAAAAGTTATTTTTTAAAACGGGTTGGTTCATTTTAAAGAGGACACTTTTATTAACACTTTGGGAAATTTTCAAACTCATATTCCAAGAAATCGATTTTATACGAATTTTTAAAATTTAATCGGCGAAAATTGCAAAATTCGAAAAAAATTTCGATCATTTCAAAAATTTATTTCTCAAGAACTAAAAGTGATTTTTCAAAACGGCTTTTTGCATTAAAAAGAGGATACTTTAATTAATAATTGGTGATATTTCCACAAGGATCCTTCAAGAAATTAATTTTATAGCGAATTTTGAAAATTATCGATGAAAATTGCAACATCGAAAATTTTATCAAAACTTCAAATATTGTTTTCTCAAAAACTAAAAGTTATTTTTCAAAACGGGTTGGTTCATTGGAAAGAGGACACTTTTATTAACACTTTGGGAAATTTTCATACTCATATTCCAAGAAATGGATTTTATACGAATTTTTAAAGCTTAATCGGCGAAAATTGCAAAATCGATTATTTCAAAAATTTATTTCTCAAAAACTAAAAGTGATTTTTCAAAACGGCTTTTTGCATTAAAAAGAGGATACTTTAATTAATAATTGGCGATATTTCCAAAAGGATTCTTCAAGAAATTAAATTTATAGCGAATTTTGAAAATTATCGCAACATCGAAAATTTGATCAAAACTTCAAATATTGTTTTCTCAAAAACTAAAAATTATTTTTCAAAATGCCTTGGTTCATTGGAAAGAGGGCACTCTTATTAACACTTTGGGAAATTTTCATATTCATATTCCAAGAAATGGATTTTATACGAATTTTTAAAATTTAATAGGAGAAAATTGCAAAATCGATTATTTCAAACATTTATTTCTCAAGAACTAAAAGTTATTTTTCAAAACGGGTTGGTTCATTGGAAAGAGGATACTTTTATTAACACTTTAGGGAATTTTCATATTCATATTAAAAGTACTCGATTTTATACGAATTTTTAAAATTTTTTATATCTTAAATTGAAGCTAAAATATCCAGCTTAGGATAGAATATAAGAGTTGATACAGTTTTCTAGTTCGATTAAGAGTCCGTCATTAATAAAAATTAACGTTAATTAATAAAGAAAAAAAAGCTTGTATTTCTACCTTTTTATCTTCGTCATCGCTATCATTGCTGATTCATTCCTGATCATTTTTGCGCTTAAACTAATTCGCTTTCCTAATAATTTGGCAGTTTGGAGGAAATGTGTCATTCAATTGTAATCAGATATGTGAGCTATAATAATATTAATAAATAAATAATTACATATTTTTATAATAATAACACAACTTTCTTTATCAAAACAGTTTGGACGCCATCTTGACAACTTATTTAATATGAAGGTGTGTTAAAAACGATGACAGAGGAATTAAGTTTTGTCATTTAATAATCAATTTAATCATTTCATAAAAGATTGATGCAAAAAATGGTTTAAAGTACAAATTCCTCGATAAGTACGAAAAAAATTAATAAATATAAAAATTTAAGTATTTAAATAAAATAAATTCTTTCTTGCTATAAAATTTAATGTAATTAGTACCGGTTTCGGATCATCAGCCATCATAAATATTTAATTATTGTTTGTATAATATAAATAGGTATTTGAAGTATTTAAAGAAAACAGGTAAAGAGAAAAATCCCAGAAACGGTAAATAATGAAAGAATTTCCCGTACGCCACTGGAATTTACGTCCCTTTTAAAAGGTTCTTTACGATTCCCGTCGGACCGAAAAATTTATGAATCATCGTCCTTCTGAAGAAGAGAGTGAACTTACGTGATGCTTAACACGCGAAGGAAAAGACCTACTTCTTTTACATATACATAATTATTTTTTTTTCGCAATAAGTTTTAAGAAATGCGTTCATATAACTGCATCGTTGGCATCTTTTCCGATCAAAAACAGCTGCCAGTGAATTATAATTGTTTTGAAGACTTGAACAGGACGGTCATTGTGCTGCACTTGAACGGAATAATTGTCGGGGGCGTTTAAGTTATTATAAAAACGGCCGTAAGCCGGCCCCCATAGAGATAAATTGCCAGTAACACGTCGATTGGGCCTTTCATTGGTGTCTACGTGCATTTTAGCACATTCGCCTTCGCGTACCGATGAATAGGCTAGTGAAATGAAAAAAATTGATTTCTTTTTTTTTTTGATCGATTTTTATTTATTCCTTTACCGTATTGAATTGAATTGTTTAAAAAAAAATGCGTCCAAGGTTGTCTCTATTGTCATAATCGAATAAATTCACTAAACACGTGGATTTATTACTTAAAAAAGAAAGTTTATAAATTTTAAGTTTATTTTATTTGAAGAAACCCGAAGTTGCAACTCGCAGTTGAGATTAACACTAAATACTAAATAGTCGGTTTGCTTTAAAAAATCTGAAAAAATAAACCAGGAGCGAGAAGAGGAAATGGTTACTGGGAGTTACGACCGGTTTTTTCAAAAATTAAAACATAATTACCTATTATACAAGAGGTGGGTTTAAGTATGTATATTTTCTTATTCTTGTATAAAATTTTTGGTGAACCTTCCGCCCCTCTTTTCATCCATACTTATCGTGTAGTTTTCGTCGGAGTGGGGGGAAAAGTTATTTTGATAAATACACGTCGCAACCAAACAGGCTACACACTCACGCGTGTTACCTACGTTTAGTAAGATAAAACCTATCAAGTGAAAATAAAATCGAAATTTCGTTCGACATCATGTGTGTTAGTAATGCCGTTAACGAAACTATACCACATTGCTCAAACACCAGTGTGAAGAAACCTACATCATCAACATCCGAAGATCACTTCAGAGACATCCTTTATGAGTCCACCAAACAAATCAAAAGCATCTTTTATCAATTCGATGCGGCTTATAAAAAATGTCAACGCTCTGCTTATTATAGGTAAATATTTATTTATTAAATATTAATATTATTAATTAATATCTATTAATTATATATATAATATTTTATTAATTTTTTTTTTTTTGTTTCTAGAGTATTATTTAATACAACTCAACCAGCCCATTTAGTAACAATCGTAGCAATATCAATCATAGGATTTTTCGTATACCCAAGTGAAAAAACAAACCAACCGTCAAAATTATGGAATTTCCTCCATTTGACCGCGTTTTGTGTCCATTTGGGTACACAAATATGGATGACTTTTGTGTCGGGACTTTCCCTTTACTTTGCATTGCCAAGACACGATTTCGGTAGAGTGCAAGAGGTGCTTTTCCCGAAGTATTTTTTGCTGAACTCGATTTTAAGTTTGATCACCTTAGTAATCTACTTGAGATATCATAATTCCCAGTTAGGAAATCCAGAGATACTGTTACAAGTGTCGGCAATGTCGACATGTTTTTTGACTGAATTAGTGATCCGATTATACTTCACGCCGCCTTTGCTACGCTTGATGGCGGAAAAGAATAGTATGGAAAGAAGAGTGGGTGTTGGTAAAGAAATCGGTTCGTTTGAAGGCGAAAAATTAGCATCATCCACCGATTATCTCCGCGTGCATAAAGCTTTTAGGAAGATTCATATGAAAATCGCCATGGGGAATATCCTTACAATGGTGTGCACTGTGATACATCTACTTTATTTATCAAACAAAATCTGCATCTTGTAAATACTTTATTTATTTTAAAATTTTTAGTGTTAACTTTCATCATTCAGACTTTTCCAGTATTATCATTTAAATTTAACTACTTCGTTTTTAATTCTATGTATTTATTAAATTATTATTTATTTATGTATGTAATTCTAAATGATCTGATTATTGAAAAAATAAAAAATCTATACAAAAAAAATTTAATTAATTTAATTATAAACTACAAAAACCTTGACTGTTGAGCTATATTTGACCTTTTATCACTAAAACGAAATGCACCTGATATTCTAAGCATATTTGTCACCCCGACGACGCTTTATCGCAAATACGTCACTTTTTACGCTAATTGACCCGTTATTTCACATTGTTCTATTTAATCTTTCCAAGGTAATTTAAAATCATTTTTATAAATAATTATGCAATTCTTTTTTAAAAGATTTATCAAACGACAAATCACGTCATAACAATAAAAATGTTGTAAAGTTTCTTATCTACTGCGTTCACCTTAACACAAATATTTTACAAACTAAATATGCTATCGAAATACCAGAAAAGGTATTAACTTCCGTAGTCAGAAAGATTTACGTTACAAATTGAAGTCAACACAGATAAAATGTATCATATTTCAACGAATTTGTTTTTGATGGGTTAAATTTTTTTTTATTATTTTTCCGGTGCCTCCACCATATTCCCTATTTTTTGAGTTTTATTTTTCTTTCAATATTTTTTTTTTTTGAATTATGAGAACATGGCGGAATTGCAAGTTATAAAGAATACTTAAATCTTTAAGTAAGGATGAGTTGTAGCTATTTAATCATAGATGTCGGTATTTAACGGACGAATCTGAAGTCCTACAAATACGGCAACGGGTGAAGATGAAATACCTACGAGCGTTCTAAAGCATTCTGCAAGGTACTTAGTTAAACCGCTAACGCATTTAATAAACACATCCTTCACTGATGGCGGTTTTCCGGAAGGAGACAAGTCCTGCTATGACAACTATCTTGGGATTAAATGAAAAACAGGCCATAACAGCATTGTTCATGGATCTTACAAAAGCCTTTTAACCAAGTTGGAGAGAGTTGGCTTTAGAGGTGTTAGCTTATCATGGATGAAATCAAAGAAATTGTATAACTAGAAGCACATATAAACACCAAGAGTTGAAGCCAGCGTTCGATGTGTTTTGTTTACGTTTTCACTCAGTCCAGAACGGGACGCGCTCAGATCGGACCGTCCAGCCGATGATCACCGAGTATTTCCGAATCTTTTAATGGTTCCTTTGAAAATAAATTTACCTGATTAATGTTTATCCATGTTTACCGAACCCTAATACATGAATAATTCTCTCCTAAGTAAACAAGGTTTGTGTGCGCATTTGTGTTTTGGCTTTGGCGAAATAATAATAATAATAA